AACTGGTCGAAGTCTGTGTACATATCTGGTTGGTAAACAATACCCTCCCGTCTACTAGCTCTTGTGTATGGTTGTCGTATCGTTTGGAAACAACGTTGAAACCAATTTCTCTCAACAAACGTCGTCTCGAGCTCTATATATCGCATAGCGTTTGCGAATTATCGTGTCCCCGGTTATTTAGTTGGAGTATATGAGAGATCAATAGTGAGTACGACACCTTTTTCATAGTAGTAGTATATACTTCGTAAGTGATATATTTCTTATTGTTCTGTGTTTACTGATTTTGAGGTGTTTACTGACGAACACAGTGTGAGGTATTGCATTCCGTACAATTCGAGACTAAACTGAAGAAACAAGAGATGATTCTCGCCTTAGAAGTAAATACATTTGTGACTATGAAGGCCAAACGTTCAAAACTCACTGAAAGTGACGTTACGTTCTGGTTCGCTCTGATGGAACTCTTTTGATAGTCATAAAATTAAATCACAGAAGGGAGGAAATCTATGTTTTGTGTTGCCTCCACCATTTGCAAATGAACTTCCGTTAGTTCACGGATCACCTTCTAGCTAGATACGAGCTACAACACTCATATATGGAGCGTACTTAAGTAGAAGCTTCGTAGTTGTGTGTAACTATCGTGATGCTGAAAGATGTAGATGAGTAAAGTAACCAGTAGGACTAACATTAACGCGTGGTCGACAAGGCCTAGTTGATTGAATTGGAACAAGTTAATGTGTTTTTAATTAGTAGGTATAACTCAAACTAATGCAAAGTGCTACAAATATTCATTAATTGTAAGAAAAATTATGTAGTAACAGCGTAACGTGTTTAGGTGACCAAATTAATTTATTATCATAGCTGTTTTGATGATTACCCTTTTTTATTCTTGTTATGGAATAGTGACTCTTTGTTCTTCACCTAAACATTTGGATTTATATGTGGTAGGTGGACTTAGCAAAATAGGTAGGCTAACATAAGATCTAAAACACGAGCTTAAGAAGTATCAAACATAGTTCGCATCACCATCAATCAACAGCAGCCTGAGTCAAACAAAGTGACTCCAGGTACAGGACTCACTATCACTTTCTAAAATGATGCTGATACAAAAGGACAAACTTCTCAGTTTAGATTGAGGCTGTCAAACATACAAACATAATTTTTTAAAGGCAAAAAGTCATAACTCTTGATACGAAGTTAAGGTGAAAAGTTCTCTTTATAAACATAGTAGCATGTTTGAAGATAGAGTCACTGGGAACGGATGTTGCATAAGGCCTAGATTTCTACTTTTCGTCAAAGAGACTCCGGATGACTTTAAAAATGTTATGAAGCTACACTATGGTCAGAAGAGCCAAAAATTCTAACTAAATATGGTATAAACACTATTGAAATCAGTTTTAATTTTTCACGATACTCTGGGATAATTTTGTTGATAGTCACAACTAATCCCCAGCCTCACAAATGTAGACCAAATGCACCCAACAAGTAAAGGTATTTCTATCCTTATGTGACCTATGAGATTATTTTTTGCGTGGACTTAAAATCATCAAAGCCGAATTAGACTACGTGTTCCAATTCAGTGTCATCCACCCTTCTGGTACACATGATTCAAAGGAAAATGGGGACAGCTGAAGGTCATTCGGAACTACAGGTTTCTTATCATTGTTCCCTGTGAAATTCACAGTCGTGTATGACTAATCCGGCTCATGTTCCTTTTAGGATGTGTGTATTCACTAGTCTTTCTACTACAGTAAACGGGGTTCTATCTTATTCTTTTCCGAGGTATTTTATTGTAAAAACATTTCCTTAGTATCACTGGCGAGCTCTGTCCTATCTAATGCAAACCATAGAATTAGGCTCTCTCAAAAAAAGATCATCGAGTAAAAATCTACAATTAACACTGGCTAAACCAAATTCATTTTTTAAAAGTTTTCTGACTTGTAGGATAGGCAGCTGTCTAATGCAGTATATACCTCTTGTGATTTTATGAGTGGAAAACCCGATTTATAGCAAAAGTATAAGATACTGACGACTGTAAGTGACCTGTTAGCCAATCACAAAATGTTGAATAGCTATAGAACAATTAACGGGAAAAAGTAGTGGAATAACAGCTTTGATCGTAATAATTAGCCCTCAAAAGTCACATTATCATTTGTAGTAAATAAAAAGAGGAATTTACGTACATACAACCGTACAGGGAGTCGAGCCAGTGTTATGAGCATTGGTTATCACCTTGTAGAGCTTTCATCATCAATTGACATCAATTATAATGCAAAATGGCAAGAGTTAAGTATTAGGAATAAGGTTTACAAATTAAGGTTAGATTTTTCAATGCAAGCAGACATCAGCTATAATGTAATGTCTTGCCATTTTGTGGTAATTAGAAGTATTTGAATTATTGTACGAATTAGGAATCCCAGCAATAGCACAACCTAAGTAGACAGAACTAGTGAGCACAAAAAAACCTGTTGTATTTGGAATTCGAAGTCAGGCAGTCATCAAGTACACATGAATCATTTGTTCACACAAACACCACATCCACCGTAGCTTAAATTGAAGTTTAAGTTTTTGTAATCGATTGTACGTTTTCTCTAGGTTCATCATTTGTCTGTACGACCATGTATTGGATATAGACTCTGTACGATCTGAAATGTACTCATTAGAATTAACAAAAAAAGGAATCGGAATGGACTCACCTGGGTCCTGGGATTGTATATGATCATGTCAGTTGTATGCTGAAACCACTGATATCTAGAATTTGAACAATAGACTTTCTAACATTATCCTTCCCCACAAAGTAATGTTGGATCTTCATATCCTCAAGTTATAAATGATGTTGATTTATTTAAAACATATTTCTCACATTGACTCAAGTATTCATTAGAAGTGATTTTATGATAAGGATAAACAACAGTTGATATGAAATCATCTGAACTGTTATCAAAATCGAGCTCGTTTAGGACTCGTACTTCGTCTTGAACAAGTTTCACACAAGAAACAGATGCATTATGAGGAAAAATAACATTTGATATGACGTCAGAATATGTTTTTTTTCTGACGTATTTTCCTCAAATTTATTATGGATATCATTTGAGAATAATGGATCATTAAAAAAATCAACATCTATCAAAACTACATCAGATTTTTGGTCATGATTTGATTCATTCAACATATTTTCCTCAGATTTGCAAGAAATTTTACCGAAAATATGTGAATCATTAGGACAAACCATATCTGCTACAACAACATCAGAATTCTGATTAGGATTTGGTGCACATTATATCTTCCACATATTTGTAGATAATTTCATTGGAAATATATGAATCATGGGGACAACGCATATTTGATAAAATAATTTCATGAATCTGATCAGAGTATGATTCATTTGAAGCATTCAAATTAATGTAAATAAAAACAATATATTTGCAATATCCCACAGAGGAGAAAAATTAGATTTTCTGACGTTTCGTGACCCATTGTAAGCCACTTCTTCAGAGAATAAATAAGAAGTGGTGAAATGTGCTACAGAACAAACATTTACCAAACTTGTTCTCATCTTCGTGACTTGCATCGCAGCTCTTCAATGAATTGTCTGCGTGACCTTGAATACGCATTGGATTGGGATGACGTAGTAATGTAGTGAGATTCTTGATGTCTTGACGAATCATTTAATGAAATTTTCATCCTTTACAGCATTCGAAATTTGTACACTTTACATGGTTTATTAGTAGTTACTTGGGAGTTGCATAAGGAAGTGAAATGGGCTTTTCTGGAAATGCCAAAGTTTTTAATAAGCTGTAAGCTTTTTTTCTGATCAATGTAAGGAAATGAGCCACAATATTTACATCCTCAACACACTCCTTGGTCATAGTTTAGATTTCAAACCTTATCATATAATCCTCAAAAGCATCAAGACCTGAATGTATGTCCAGCTGTTCCATGATAGGCTCCATCGCAACCCTAATGCGATAATTAGAAGTTTTTGAATTCTTGTAAGAATTAGGAATCCCAGAAATAACTGAATTTAGACCAAGAAGAACTAAGTGAGCACAAATAAACCTACTGTATTTGGAATTCGAAATCAGATAGTCATCAAGTACAAAGGAATCATTAGTTCACAAAAATTCCATACATCTTCCTGTTTAAAAACATGAGAAACTCAAAGTTGTAACTTAGAGTAAGAATGGGATAACACTATCTAGCTTCACTAAAGTTTATGTAATGGACGACAAAATTTTGAGAGGCAATCTGGCTTTGGAGCAGGTTTGCTATATCGTTTAGCTTGAATATAATCTAAAATTAAGTTTTTGGTTGTATAATAGATGTTTTCATTAATTTCAAACGTTTTCAGAACCAAGTTTTGACGATTTTCACTTGGTTAATAATAAAATACACGTTATCTATTAATGCACTTTAAACTCTCGGAAAATAGCTGAGGCGCTGTCTTAATTCTAATTGGTTAGCTCAAGGCCATCAGCATATTATACTTTTGACTAATTTTCTCTTTTCAGTGGTATAACCCTTGTAGAATCGTCTATCCGTCACATCCTTGTAATTTTTTCTAAAGAATCACTACCTTTATAACGTAACCTTTGAAAAACTCTAGCATGCCAATAGTCATCTCCAAAGTAATCAGTAGACTGAATCAGCCAAGTTTACAAAGCGAATCAGCCTTGAAATTTCCATTCGGCAGATGGTAGGAGATTTTCAAAGTTGTTTGTTCCATGAAATCCTCTCTATGGACATTACACAAGTCATTATATTTACGTCATGAATAATAGAACATCCACACCACTGGTCCTATGAAATGATGCCGTTTAGAGCTCAGGACCTACTAGCATCCGCCACAAGTTTTTGAACAAACCAAATTGGTGCGTCCTGTCTAGTAAATAATCTGGAATCAAATATGTCTTAAAAGCATTACATCCCTTCAGAGTTCCTATGGCAAAATTCTGAAAATCAGAAGGACCTCTACCTATTAAATTCTTTTATTACCTTAGATAATGCTCGGTATGGGGATCAGCGGGGCTGACAGGTAATCAACTGGCAGGCCCTGCTGATCAGGAGCGTCTAGTGAGAATGGTATGAAAACAACTGCCTAAGAAATTGTCCACTTGCACGCTTCCTCTGGGACCAGTTAGCTTAGTCCGAACAACATCAAAATATACAGTATATGACTTTTATCACTTAACTTGGTTTCGATAATTCTTCTAATCTGACTAATAAAACTATGACTAAAGCCTTAAATGAGTTAAGTTGGCTAAAGAGTGAACTATGAACACCACTAATAAAACATTTAACAACGTTAACTGGTTTATATGTACATCATAAAATATTCACCCCATAGTTCGGTTTGTGATATTGATTTCCAGTTAGATTTTCCTATCAAGACATATAAGAAATGAACTCTTACTCAAATAATGAACAAGAAAACGAGCCAGTTTTTTTGTGTAAGTCTACAGATCACAAAATACAGTAATCTCCAAAGCTAACTAAATGCGATATTATTTAAAGCCTTCGTTTAGAGTATATTGGTTTCGTTATACGCCTACAAATAAATAAATTCGCTGCGCAAGAGTTGAAGAGTGTGCTAATTGCTATCAGTTTTTAAGCACACAAACTATGGAAAAATAAGATGTTTAATGACTCAAAGAAACTGTTCGCGTCATTCAGTTTTCTTTCAAAAACAACATTGAAAGTGCATGATGATGATACATTCATCTTATAACTTATGATATGAGCTATGTAAATGAAATATTTCGTTTGAAGAATGTTTTTTTCTTACTTGTATTCATAATGTTAAGCACCTGACCTACCAAATACAATAATCGACACAAAAATTAATCCTCGAAATTAAATGAAACTAAAAACACCGTATTCAATAACTATAGCTGGAGGTTAAGCGTTCGTGTGCGAGACCGATAGGTCCGGGGTTTGAATCCCACGAGGTGGAGGAGTCCCACAATGGGACGAAATGGCCGTCCAGTGCTTCTAGGTTTTCCATGGTTGTCTAGCTTCAATTGACTCATGATCTGAACTATTAGCATTGCAATAATATCCACAAAAACTCCTTCTGATATTACTGAGCATATGATCACTAGTGATTGGCTTCAAGAGGTATTTCCTGGAGTCCTAGTGAGAAGCAGTGATCAGAGGAGTTCAACCGGGTCTGTTGTGAGATAGTAACTCACTGAAGACAATAGAGGACGCTGGCGCAAATTCGTGGATTAATTGAAGTTAGTCATTAACATCGTTGGATGCCGGTTGGCTCAGTGGTCTAGAGGTTAAGAGTTTGCTTGCAAGATCGATAGGTCCTGGGTTGAAATCTTGCGAGTCGGGACTGTGAACCCGCACTTCTGACAAGTTCCATACAAGGACGAGATGGTCATTCAGTGCTTCCAGGTGTTCCATGGTGGTCTAACTTCAATTGATTAATTAATTCAACTATAAAATTATGTATTTATTCATCATTATGAAATAGAGCAATGTAATTTCTATATCTAGTAAAAAAATTAATCAATTACTTGGAGTTACATAATTCAACTTAAATTACAATCTGATTGTATACAATATATGTGCATAAATTTGTTTTTATGAATAGACTAATCACATTTTAAACAGTTACTAACCAAACAACATAATGTAATATATACAATCTTAACAAAATTTATTTAAACATTTAGGAATGAATCAAAAGTTAATTGAGAAATCTTTTATTAACCAATGAATATAGAATCTCTTACTTCCCCCCAAAAAACAAAAAAATGTTACGATGAAATTAACCAATAATCACGTAGAAATAAAATGATTATTTCATGATTTGTTGATTTGATAAATTGTGGTAACATCGATCTAAACAAAGTTTAGTTTTAGTTATGAGTAAAAATTTACTATTTTTTTAATGTGTTACCTTTGGTCCAAATAATAAGTGAAATTAAACTTGAATTATAAGCAAAGATGGATAGTGGCTAGCAGTGGAATCCAGGACGCGCGTTTCGTCCTATTTGGGACTCGTCAGCTGGATGTACCTGCATCTCAGAGTTGATGTTCACTCTGGGATTCTAACTCAGTACCGTCCGCTTCAAACGCCATCGCGTTATCCGCTTAGCTAACGGAGGATACTGTGTTCGAGTCCCAGAGTGAACATCAACTCTGAGATGCAGGTACATCCAGCTGACGAGTCCCAAATAGGACGAAACGCGCGTCCTGGATTCCACTGCTAGCCACTATCCATCTTTGCTTATAATACTTGTAAATTAAGGCAATTTCGAGGCAATCCGCACAGTATGCACATATGCCAATAAGAGACAGATCAATTGCAGTCCTAAACATCAATGGAAAGATTCAAGTAAAACAACATCAAGTGAATTAAACTTGAATTGATTTGGTTGTTGTTATTGTTGTTGTTGATTGTAATTGTGATACGTAGTAACATGTTAATCCACGAATAGTTTTATTATATTAAGTGCTTATTTTTAAAGGCAAATATTAAATCAATATTTTTGTTCCAAAACTGTTGGTAATTGTTTATTTATAAGTTTAAAATATCCTTACAACTTTCTTGACATAAGAAATTAGTTTGATATCAAGAATACATTGAGGAAGAGAGAGGACTGCTTAGTCCATGTCATTTCGTCTGTTTCTGATGTTAGTTAGTCTTGATTCCGAGAAGATATAAAGCTTTGACTAACCATTCATGTCTGAGTAAAGTATAGACACTCTATTCAATATTTGCATATTATATTGTTTCTTAAGATTAGTTCGAACCGGTTACTTTAAAAATATAATTAACTGTTGGAATGTAGGTTTCATTTCTAAACTGAACATACCGATATTTTATCAGTCCTGAGTTATGCAGTTGAAATGGATCTAAGATTAAGAAACAATGTACTTTAGGATGAATTGTTTATAAGTGTTTCTCAAACATCTCAAACTCTACCTAGGCTGCTCATATTTTTATTTCGAAATCATGTATTTTAATTTCAAATTGATAATTTATTCAATATTTACATTCCACATTGATCGAGTGTAAAAAATGGACTATTAGTGATTACAAAATTTTCCGGAAGTTGTTGAAATACATTGAAATCATGAGTCGATCACTAGTAAAAACCTGGAAACACTGGATGGTTGTTTCATCCTAATATAGGAATCTTCAGCAGAACTCATCCATAACCCCGCACGTGAAGCTTGAAGCCAGGACGCCTAACCTGTAGACCACTGATCCAGTATCTAGCGGTGTTAATGTTTAACTTCATGAATTCATCTGTTAAAATCCCTACAGTCTCAACAAATCCCAATTCTAATTGTATTTTACAATAAATGAAATTGTATGAAATACTTGAATCTCAGATTTGATATATTTAAATAACAAAAAGTTTTACAAGTAGAAAACATTCAACGATTGAAATGTTCACTAAAAGAGATTTAACAAATTTACGATAAATTTTATTTTATTCTTCAGTTTATCAGATCATTAACTGTTTTCGATTTATTAAAGAATAATATTGTACACTTATAAATTACTTGCATAAAAAGCGGTAATTGAAAATGAGTATTTGTTTTTAAGTTCAGCTGTCTATCATAAATAAATAAAAGCGAAATCGTTTTGTAAATATAAAATATATATTTAAAATAGAAAGCTTAGTAATATTATTGATGATGAGAAAATTTCTTGAGTCCATCATCATCATCATCATCATCATCATCATCATCATCATCATCATCATCATCATCATCATCATCATCATCATCATCATCATCATCATCATCATCATCATCATCATCATCATCATCATCATCATCATCATCATCATCATCATCATCATCATCATCATCATCATCATCATCATCATCATCATCATCATCATCATCATCATCATCATCATCATCATCATCATCATCATCATCATCATCATCATCATCATCATCATCATCATCATCATCATCATCATCATCATCATCATCATCATCATCATCATCATCATCATCATCATCATCATCATCATCATCATCATCATCATCATCATCATCATCATCATCATCATCATCATCATCATCATCATCATCATCATCATCATCATCATCATCATCATCATATATATATATATATATATATATATATATATCACGTCATATCTTTCATGTTTGCTTATATTAGTAACGTGAACACGTCTTAGATTTCTACCTTGTATATGTTCAATATTGAAGAATTTTAAACTAGCGTAAAATCGCTATACAGCAAAATTTACCTTCCAGTAGCTTTCGAGATAAAGTTTATTTGTAATGAAAATTGCATAGAAACCGTATCATACAAATGACAGACCGTTAAGTGATAACCTATTACTTATTAATCCAGTCCTTTAAGTTTTGGTCCTATTCCTTCGATGAGACTGCAGTTTGATCACTAGTGTAAATGACTAGACATCGTGTTGAATTTTCCGTTGGTCGCAGGTAGTTAATCAGGACTGAAATGATTAGACAAACATAACAATAGTTACTACTCAGTGATCAATCATTTGTAAGCATCTTAATCCCACAAGAGGTTCATTGAGCTCCAAGTAGCTCAATAAGAATGTCTGAGATTGTGAAGATGGGTGATCCGGGTTCAGTTGTTTTAAGACTTTAAGTAACCGATTTTTATGAGTACAAACTAGCCCGAAAGATAGGTGCTACGTTCACGTCACCTACTCCAACCAAACAATAATACAAAAATATCAGTTAAGTATCTTTTTACATTTATTTTACCGAATTATATTTTCCTATAGGTAAACGTTGTTTATTATGACAAATTTATCAATAATATCTTAGATCATGATTACCTTTCTCGATCATATCCAACTGTTACATAATTTGTACAATGTAATAATTTTCAAAATACTGATAGTTTTCAGTTCTTAATGATTCAGTTACTGAACATGTTTGTTAAAAGGCATAATGAAAAGTAAATCTTGATTACTCAATACAAAAGTATTTAAATGAAAGATCTAATGATAATCGTATTTCAATGTTTATTTACATAATTAGATTGTTGTTTACTGTTGAAAACTTATTACTTGAAAGAGGAATCCTTTGGAGCGATGTGTCCATAGTTTACTAAATGCCCCTCGATAGAACTAGTAATTGTTTTACATTCACCTTTTAAAAGCCAAGCCGGATAGTATTCTGAGATGCGTTTGAAAAGTGATCGCTTTGTGCGGCCTATGTAACGTGCCCCACATGAGCAAGTAAATTTATAGATACACATTGATGTGGCCCAAAGCGGAAGTTTGTCCTTAACTCATTCAAGAATGGTAGGCCGGCTTGAGAAAACAATTTGGCCGCACAAAGCGATCATTCTCCAAATGCATTTCAGAACACTATCCGGCTTGGCTTTTAAAAGCTGAATGTAAAGCAATTACTTATTACTTGATTATATTATGAATTTTTTCATTATTCAGCACTTAAAATAGAAGTTTATTACACACATCTAACAATAATACAGAATCTAAAATTGATTGATAACTTAATGGTGAATACTGTCTATTTATCTAATGCTTTAGTACTAATTAAATTTTATCGATTAAGTTGCAATATAACTACTCGTGTGAATGACTTGATATCATATACTTTATATCTAAATCATGGATTATTTGATATAAGAAGCTTCTTGCTGGTCATCTTCAGTCACCTAACATAAACTGTCTTTTCTTATTTACTTGTTTACAATTGAAATTGTATATAATGAATTAGATGATGTGATGTATTTGACAGCAATGATAATTAAATAATTACTCAGAGAATATATTATCTTCAGCTTATGAATCAATGACATTTTACATAATTAACCAGCACATATATTGACAAACTTGTTGTCATGTCAACATTTACATAGTTTTCAAAAAAACAAACTCAGAGATTCATATTTACGTAGTTATTTATTCATTATCCATAGATGATGAAAAATAAAACAAAGATTATGTGAAATTGTTAATGATTATTGCCTATTCTTTATCAATTTTATTCATCCATATTTGAGTAGTAAGTTGTTCTATTTGTCATCACATTACTTTGTGTACCTTTAAAAAAAAATTAATAAAAAACAAACAAACAACGTCAACTGTTAATTTTATTAAGTTACAAAATCAATAATAAAACTAACTCATAACACTATACTTCACAGTATAGACTAATATTAGATAAAAACCATTGAAAACTGAGAAACAATAGGTAAATGTTTCATTCTAATATAGAACTATTCAACATTGTTCATATATTAAAGAGGAAGAATGTATTTGTAAAATCTCAGCTAAAGAATTTGAAGTAAATCCAACGTTTCACCTGGCAATCTGGTCCAAACTTTTTCAAGGAAAATATAATCAAACAACAAAATTATCGAATATAAATAGGTACATGGTTCTCTGGTTTACTGTATACTGAATAAGACATCTAATCAATGTGAACCCTGTTTGAAGTAGGTATTTACATAGGTGTGTAAGAGACATATGTTGTGAAAAACGAAAAGTGTTAAGATAACAGATTGTGTGTCTACGTAAGTGATGTGAGAAGATATTTCATTCAACTATATATATTGTCTTCGGTATGTGTATATTAAGAAACATATCATTTTATATATGAAATGAATCAAAAATGTCACAGCATGCATTAAATGAAGATAAATAAATAAGTAAACAACATAAAAGACTGAATTCAAAGAGGAATGTATTTGTAATTGAAAGTTTGTGTTATTTTAATGTTCCAGTCAATTGTTTAACATATTCAGATAAGATAACTGATTTGAACCTTTGAATGTATTATCTATTGATTGGTTAATATGATATAGATAGATAGGATGGAATAAGGAGTTCAGGTTTACTTATTAATCATCAGTTGCCATGGGACAGCTAGTTGTTTTCCATCTCTCCTATTAATACTGTTTGAATTTACCCATATATGTAGGGCTTCGGCTGTTAGTTGTTCTTTGTAAGAATTAAAGCCTTTTTGAATGATTCTTGCGCCATTGAAAGCAACTGTATGACCCGATTCAATCCAGTTTTCTTACATCATCCTCTTTAATGTCTCACATTAACTCGGCGCTCAAATATTGTGAAACTATTCGTTCAAATTTAGACTATTCAGAAAAATAATCTTGCTTAATAGTTTAATGAGTTGATTTAATGAAGAGAAGCTAGAATGAGAATACGTTTACCAATGATTAACTAGGTTGTGATACTGGAAATACAGAAATTTAGACTTTTTAATATGCTTGAAATTGTTCATTAATACATGTATATAACTATTCACGGAAGGTTATCAATGTTCAACATCACTGATAAATAAGTATTTCACTAATTACTTAGTTAATTTCATGATTCCTAGTTTTCCTACTGTTACTCTGATAAATTCATGTCAACGTCAGTTTTCAAATGTATTCTGTTTTAGCATTATATAATTTTATATTATAAAATTACGTATTGATTTGTACTAAATTCGTGTCTTTTTTCTGACATAGAAAACTGAAGAAAATATTTAGGTAAGACTACAATTGATGGACGAACCATTCAGATTTAAAATAACAGGTCATGGATTTTAGGCGCGAAATTCACGCATCCTTTTGGCTAAATATGACTTTTGGCATTTTAGCTAATGTCAGTTCATGATGAAAAACCGTAAATGTAATTCTTAACCTTAACCATAAACTGTGAATCATAATCCTTATTCTTCAAACTACTTTATAACCCTTATTTAGCCTTAGTAAGTAGGTAGACACTTTCATGCTCACTTTGATGTCACTCAAAGGTCGTCCATAAATTATTGTCTCACTGATACTTATTTTCATTTAAAACTTAAAGTATTACGAATTGAATTGATTGTTTTGAGAAATATTTTTCAATTTTTCACGTAGAGTATTATAATCTATGATCAGAGTCTATTTAAAACTGTTGAAATCACGTAGTATTACAGTTTGATCATTACATTATACACAGTATTTGTTATAAACAACTAGGTAGGTTTGTAATCATTGATAACATTTTTGAGATTAAAGAATCATTTTATCATAGAAGAATAATTTTGTTTACATTATCATAGATTTTGATCATGAGATAGTTTCATGTCATAACAACAGCTAACAAAACATACTACAGTTGAAGTATTCTATTATCATGTAAGCAAGATTCGTAACTGTTATTTGCAAAAATAGGTGTACACTTTAAATTTTATTCATATCTATGAAACAGGGTATTACCATCGTGTTATATCTGCATCTGTTAATAGTTATACTTGAAAACGAGGTATCACTACAATTTCCAAGATGCAAAAGTAAGGATAAGGAAGACTGATACAAGTGAAGATTTATTTTACCTCCAAAACACGATGATCACTCTATTCGAATATACACTCATACACATATTGATTTTTACATCTATTAGATTATTGATTAATAGAAAGCCACATGTATGAATTCATGGCAAAATCGTACGTTGTATGTCATGCCGAACATAATTAACATTAATTTAGTACAGGAATAACATATCTTGAATGCTTACATCACACTGAAGTAAATCAATATTATACTGAACAAAGTAGCACACTAAAAATAAAGCAAATTTTACACCAAATGATCATCATATTGAATTGAAGAATGAAATTAATGTTGGACATGAATCGCAACGAGTTAAAAATGTCATTTTGCTTTTTCATCCTGTCGCATCACACAGAAGCATTGGTTAGCATAACCTAAGGTGTGTTATTATTCGATCTATCGATTGCTTCCAGATTCTGTTGCATAGTAAAAAAATACAATTCTTATTAAGACAAAGTTTTTATGTTCAGAAGGGATATAGTCACGTAGTGCTTTACAGTGCCTAGTCAGATGACAATCAACCAATCCAATATAGAGGTCCACAATTAAAATAATCTTTGAAATAACATCAAAACTGTTCAGTGGTTATTGTATTTATTTTCTTGTTGAGTTATCCAGTGAAATATATGTAGGTAAGTTAAACCTTTCTAACATGTCAAGTTCAGTAAAAGTAAATATTTTCTTTATCTGTGCCTTATTTTATCACCTTGTTTTGATATATTTATCAGTAAGGGCTTGTGGTGATTGTTGAGCTTAGAATGATATCATGAATGAATCAATATTAGATCAATATTGAAAACCTGGAAGCAATATTTGACGGTTGTTTCGCCCTAGTATGAGACACATCCATGGTCCCGCATACGGGGTTCAAATCCGTCTGACGTGCAAACCCCTGACCTCTAGACCACCGAGCCAACCAGAATCCAACGGTGTTAATGTCTAACTTCAATTAATCCACGAATTTGCGCCAGCGTCTTCTATTGTCTTCAGTGAGTTACTATCTCACAACAGACCTCGTTGAACTCCACTGGTCACGACTTCTCACTGGAACTGCAGAAAATCCATGTTGAAGCGAGTCATTGGTGAACGCATACTAATTATCAGCAAGGGGTTGTTGAGATCATTGAGCTTAGATTGATATTATGAATGTTGATCTAACATTGAACCATTCATAATATCAATCTAAGATTAGATACATCTTTAATTTCCTTTTGACTATGATTAATATCTATACTCTCCTGTCTACTTTTAAATTATTTATATACACAAATTCTTGTCTAACTATATAATAACTTCAAATTAAGTTCTAACGACAGTACTCTACTTACTTAACAAAATGTTTTATCCTTATTATTATTATTATTATCATTATTATTATTTAACAGTTATCCAGCTATATTAGCTTAATATAAAAATGTTAAGCTAATGTAGTTAGATAACTGTTAGATAATAATAATGTGCCTCCAAATGACCTGGTACGGCCGAAAGTTGGGAGAGTCCACTCTACCTCTCCAAATGCTCTCACATGGCCACACGTATATAACCTATGCCAAGGAAGTCCTACTCACCGCCTTCTCTCCACCGAGGTGTCGTTTACGAAATTAAAAGGACGAAGAGAGAATGTCCATTTCTTTAACCGGGATGATGGACACGGAGAGTCCACCTAGGGGAGTTGGAAAACCCTAATTCCAAACCAATGGTGTACATGGGCTCCAGGACCCTGAGGAAACAAATGACGTATGAACCGATTGTTGGTCACCAGCTACCATGAGAATGCATCTCCTTACGATACTCCAATGCCTTTTGGATTAGACCCCTTATGAAAACCAGTATCACAGCCCTTACACAAATCAAATGAGTTTTGTGTGGTGCATATGTATCTAGTGCCCCCTTGTACAAGTATTTATATGTTCAAATAAATAAATAATATAAAAATGTAAACATGTTAATTATAGACAATTTTACTCATAATATTACTTACTATCAACATATGCTGTAGTTTGAACATAAGTTTCTGTAACAGTATGTAATAGATCTCTTGAATTATTTGTATCATATTTATAATCTAATAATTCACTTGCTTTTTCATTTTTACGTTGTTTACGTTGATATTTTAATGCTTCATTAGATCCATGATCAATTAATTCATCTAAAAAATTATCAATATTTATTGCAGAAACATTTCTATTTACATATTTTCTACATAATGGACATGTATTACGTATTTTAAACCAATAATATAAACATTCACGACAAAATTGATGACCACATGATAATAAACGTGTACGAACTAATAGACCACGACATATAGAACATAAAAATGATTCTTTAATTAAATTATCTAATAATTTATTATCAGTTAATTGTATCTCATCTAAATCAATAAATGTAACATTTTTATAAGTTTCAATTTGATTAAATATATCATTATTATTAATAATTAATTTTTCATTAGTTTGACATGTATATGATTGAGCATCAACTAAACAACTTGATAATATTTCATTCACTTGAGTTGAACGATTTATAAATGATAATTTCATATTCATTGATGATTGTATAATAATAATAATAATAATGAAAATTTAATTAAAATTGAATTTAGTTACTATGTTAGTTTTCTACATATTTATATACTATGGAAAACAAATGTATCTATTTAGTTTTGATCATATGATTTGAAATGTGATTTGATATTGATTTAAATATAAATGAAAAGAAATGGTATGTGTTATTGATTTTATTAGTAATAAAACTCTATAGATTATACCATTTCTTTTTATTCATTAGAGTTTTTTTTAAAAAAAAACTTGATATGAATAAAATGTACTTCGTGCTTAAATATATATATTTCAATAGGTGAGAATTTATTGTAGTAAAACTGTTTGAAATAATTAATTCACTTCTATTGAACTTAATTTCATATGTCATTTTGGTTAATAATAATAATAATAATAATAATAATAGTAATAATAAGTAATAATTGAAGCTAGACCACCATGGAAAACTGCTGGATGGTCGTTTTGTCCTATTGTGGAACTCCTCAACTTTGTGCATTCATGACCCCGCCTTGCGGGATTCAAACCCATAATCTCAATTATTGAAATTACTATGATCTCTACAAAACTCTTTCTGATACTAATAATTATCTCTTGAAAGCAATGGTTACTTTTACTTACTTACTTATTCCTCGTGGAGGAGAATTGAATGTCCACCAACATTTTCTATTCAACTCTATCTTGAGCAATCCTTTTCAGTTGTTTCTAGTTGTTATTCAACCATTTCATGTCTGTTTCCGATTCTTGGCGTAGTGTGTTCTTTGGCTTTTCTTTCTTTCGTTTCTCTCCATGAATACAAGTTAGAGCTTGCCAAGTGATGTAATTTGGTGATTCCACAATGTATGTTTTACCTACTTCCAATGTCTTTTCCTAATCTCTTCTTCATCTAGAAGTTGGTTTGTTCCCTCCTACAGTAGGCTATTGCTGATGATATCTGGTCAAGGGATATTGAGTATCATGTATAGACAATTGTTTACAAATACCTTTTTGATAATGATGGTAGTAGTTATTCAACTTACAGCTTTTGTAATGCCTTGATATTTTGAACTTATCAGTTGGTTTGCAATTTTATGCGTTAAGTAGATAAAAGTTGTTTAATTAAATGTTTAATGTTTAATTTTATAATAGACAAACTATTTTAGTAATAATAAATATCGTTTTAAAACGTATTCACTGATAACTGTCGGAATGTGAGTAGTACTGGGTAAGCCGGTAAAGTTTTTCCTACCCTATGATGTTATGAACTAGAATAAGAAACAGTGAAGATTATAAAATTTAATTCATAGTTTTTAAAAAGCAATAACAGTTACAAACGGTTTTATTACACTGCAACATAGTGATTAATGATATAACAGGGTATTTATTGATGATGGTGAATACATGAAGTTAAAAGGTGTCCTAATCTTCCACTCACAGATTATAAACGTTAAACCGAATATAGTTCATAGAGTAGGCAGCACAGATGAAAATCTTAGTTCATACAATAAAACAATGATTCCAGTTAGTGATATAAAAAAAGTTTATAACAAGCATTATAGTCATTATCAATTCAAATTCAGTTATGTTTAAAATTTCTTGAAAACGGCTATTTCAAGTTCAAAACTCTCAGATTTACTTCCAAAATCTTCAACTGAGTCAGAGTCCTATCAATTTATGAGGCTAATATTCGACCAAAGGAAAACATTTTCTAGTTAACAATCATATAGTAACAAAAGGAATTATTAAATTTTTACCATTAGTTCAGTTGCAGTCTTCAGACAAAACATAAAAGTAATTTCCATGATTACTGGAGAATATATTAAACAAGCCAAAGATATTAACTTAGCATAATTAATATAGAAAAAGACTGTATGATCTGGTGATTAGGGATTCAATTGATTGAAATGCAAATGATGTATGAAAGTGGTTTGTTTTAGTAGTCTATGTAGTGTAATTACAGTTTAAGCAAAAGAAATTTTAGTGATAGTTACATTAGTTATATCTTTTGATTATAACCATTCAAGTTTATAATGCTGTAAATATTTGTTTATACAGTGAGTTAATAATTAATTAATATCAAATAATAAGTTTCATTTATACAAATATGGCAATTAATCTGTGTAAATAAATTCAAGAAAAATCAATATTTTTTTAATATTTAATTTCGAGTATTGATAATATCAAATAATTCATCATCTATCATCTTCGTACTTTTATTTGTATCATTAGATTCATAGTTTACAGTTACAAGTACCAATAACTCCCTTGTTTACATAACAATTCTTATATTAATCAATAAAATTATAGTTAAGGCATGTTCATTTCATATCTAACAAGTATACGATGAATTCAATTACTGTATTATACAGGAACAATATAATCAATCAAGATAAATGTTTTATTGAGAATCTTTTCATTAAAAGATTATCAAACTATGTAGTCAAGAAAATGAAAAGATAAAAGTTAACAATGTTGACAAACTCATTAAAAATTGGAATATCATATAGAAAGTACTTAGGTGAAAGGTTCCTGTAGGGAAATCAATTCTGTAGAAGTTCAATTAAGACACAACAACTTGGTGATAGTGTTTCTAACTGTAGCACTAGAAGAAGACATGTTCGAATATTTGGAATAACAAGATATTTAAGTTACTATCCCCTAAAGCAATGCTGGCTGACAAAAATTTAGTATGTTTCTACATGGCATAATTACTTACAAAATATTTCTGTATCACAAACTTCAAAACGAACAGGTTAGAGTCCCAGAGTGAATGTCAAGTGTGGGATGTAAATACGTCCAACTGACTAGTTCCAAATCATGTTTTGAATTCTCCTGCTGGTCACATTTCACCTATTTCATCTATATATATCAACGCTTAGTTGTTATTATCAGAATGGGTGTTTGTGGAGATTATGGTAATTTTAATTGTTGAACACATGACTCGACCTATGCTAGACCACTATTGGAAACCTGGAAGCGCTGGATGGCTTAGTTATTAGTTAGATTTATGTCTTTAACCCGCATGAGGAATTCCTAAATATATTTTGAGGGTTTAAATCATCGATTATTATTCACTTCCTTTTTAATGTAACTGTTATAACTTGTCAGTTGAATTCTGCTTGTTTTGTTAACTTTTTCCAAAATCCCCGTCGCCACTGATATGTCTTGTCGTTTGAATGCTACTTTTTATATCTAGTCGTCGCTGATTGTTGTGTCGGAAACGCTTATCACTTTTACTCGGAACGAAGGACCTCCACACAAAGACTGGTATAAGTGAAGATTTATTGACCCCAAAACATGATTACGACTCTAGTAGAAAATATACTCATTTATATAATGATTGTACACATACTTTGATTAATAATTAGAATGAAATCACATATATGGAAAATACTTAGAGTTATAACAAATCACATACTGAGCATAGTTCATGTCAATTGGATACAAGAATATCGTATATTATACAGAATAAAATATCATACGAGAAAAGAAAACAATTACTACACTGAATGATCATCACATTGAATTAGAACGGAAGTAATGTTGAACAAAACTCATAATGAGTAAATCAATGGAATTTTGATTTTTCTTCCCATCATATCACCCTTTATTTTTTTGGAAGACTCAAAGTTTAGATCCTGACTAAATTCTATGACTTTATCCTCCCCCCACGAAATAATGTTAGGTCCTCATATTCCCAAGTTACTGTTAGTGTGACTATTTAAAACACTAGAACTGACTAGATGGCAAGGATCAATGACACTTGATCTGAGGTCATTAAGGCTTGACTCTTCCGAGACATTTTCACCAAATTTCTTGAAAATCTCATTAGTAGATAATGGAACACTAGAATAACCAGCATCTATCAAAATTTTATTAGGTTCTTGATCATCGTTTGATGCATCCAACAAATTTTCCTCATTTTTGTAAGAAATTTGATCGAAAGCATGTAATTCATTAAGATAACTCATATTTGGTAAAACAACTACAGAACTCCGATAAGTACACTCATCATGAACTTTTGTCGTAGAATGATGAGCTCCATTTAATGCAACTGTCTTCATTATGCTGCTTGATTCATTTTCTGTTTCTTCGTGTACGGGTACTGCAATAATTTTATGAGCATTTAATAAAACGTCTTTCTGTGAGCTGCAAAAGTCAGTGTTTGTACATTGTGTTTCAGGGACAATGGAATTTGAACCCATGACAGGGCATGTCTCTGAAATGGACATTTTTAGACCACTGGGCTGATCATGAATGACTGCTACTACTTCGTTTACATCACTACTTATCAAGGATTCACTGAGGCTTTCATCGACACGTTCATAAGTTGTACAGTCATTTTCCAGCTCTGTATGCAAATTAGAAATTAATTCATCAACTGTCACATCTCTAAAACATGGATGACTTATCAGCCGTGTGCGTAAATTGTCTAAAACATTCAACTGGCTCTTGTTGAAACGCTGCTGTTGTCGCTCAAATAATTGATTGAAAGAAATAGCCATTTTCTGAATCAGCACGGTAATGAAAAATACTGTATGACTAATTAACAATCAATGTCATTCAAGGATACCGGCGGGAGCCCTGTATGCTGATTGCTCGAAATAATAATACAATACAAAATAATTACCCACAATACGACGAAACGGCCATCCAGTGCTTCCAGGTTTTCCATGATGGTCTGGCTTTAATTGACTGATGAATTCAACTATAGAATAACATCAGTCAGTTAAATGTGAATCATGTGAATAGTTCACGATGTGAAAATAAATGACTGAACGGATTGTCTGTGTGTGTATGTATGTGTAAGTTTGAGTCATTAGTTGTTGATATTAGTGTTAATAATATTTAATAGATGATAATTTTTATAGTTTAAAATTAATCTAGTCATTATCTTCATATTTGTATAAGTTTGTAATCATATGCAAGCATGTATGCAACGCGTGTCTTGGATTCCACTGCTAGCCACCATCCATCTTTGTTTATGTATGAAAATTATCTAAGCATTTACTAAGAATTTCTGATGAGTCTAAAAATAGTATGAAGTAGTTGCTAGCTATGAGTGAAACCACCATTCAAATTCTATAAAAAACCTTATACAAAGAATTTGAATAGATCAAATTAAAAGGTAACTAGAAAATAATGTATGAAATGTGAATAAAAGCTTAGTTCTCCACAATTAACAAGCAGAAATATGTTTAACAAATATTTTGTTGGGCAACCCCTAAAA